TATCGCATCTAACTGCCGGTTGAAAAATTTCGCACCAACTCTGTGCGAAAACGACCTGGGTCGAAATAACACGGGTCGTTTTCGTAGCGAGAAACGTCCGTGTGAACGCTTGGCCCGGGACGCATTTGACACGGATCGTTTTCGACCCGGTCGTTTCGCTCCGTGTGAACGCAGCTTATATCGCAAGGCACTTTTGAACACATTCAAATGCAGCATGTGCTATGAACATTGATGAATTATTAATTATTATTGTTATTATCGTTATTATTATTATTGTTGTTGTTGTTTCTTCTTATTATTATTTCGAATAATAATAATAATAATTATTATTATTATTATTATTATTATTATCATCATCAGTTGTTATTATTATTTCTTCTTTCTTCTTTCTTCNTCTTGCGAGTGAAAAAAAAACAGTGCGTCCAAGCGAACAATTCAAGCGAGACAATGTGCGAATTTAAACGAGCAATTGGCACAGCAACTTCGGTTTATAACATTAGATATTGAGCCGCGTTTTGACACGTAGCAAGAAATTCCGGTATTCAGCGTCACAACGAGCAAAATGGCCGCGGCCGCAAGAATACGGGACGAAAAGATTCGGGATTGCGCGAAAGGACGCGCTGTCCGCAGACCCCGAATATGCGTGGCTTTGTGAGAAATTACGCGGAGCCTTCTTGGGGACCGCGCAGTTCTCGTGGTAACGCGAACAGAGTTGACGTTAGTGCTGGAGCCTGCGCATGATACGACGGTTCCGCGCTTTCGACAGGGCCAGAAACAGTTTGATACTTGCGAGCGCGCGACGCAGTGTTCTACGTATGTCATTGGCAATGTTAGGCGCGGCATTTTGCATGGTTGGTTGTACGCGGGTCGCGGATTGCGTTCGTAGCGAAACCGGGCCGCCGCACACCGCACAGCCGAGTTGACAGAACGATTGAAGCGATTTTGGACCAGCGATAAAGCGAGTTGAGGGCGGCGCGTGTCAGTGTTGTGAGACGATTGTAGTGGGTGAGTGTCGGGTGATCGGTGCCAATCAAACAATTGGTGGTGATTGGAAACCGATTGGGCGCGAGGAGCCGAGTTGCAGGCCGCGCGCGACACCTTACATTCCGCGGTGCAGCGCGCGTGTCCAGTTCGCGGTCATCGCGCATTGTTCGTGTAAGAAGCGGCCGGGTGGGGGCGCGGCCTTGTTGTACAAGCAGCTTCGCATACCGTTTACGGTCGGAGCCGACGAAGCAGCGTTTGTGGAACGCCTCGCCGCGCGGAGGGCTGTTTCAGATTTCGGCTATTTTCGCAAACGTACCGGATTGCATGAAATTCGCGAGGCTCGTGTCGAACGAGGCCTATACACATTTATACATGGGTTGGTGTTAGAGTCGTGGTTGTAAACGCTGCCGCGACACGTGGCGATCGCTGACCGCCGTATGGGCCGGTGCGCGTTTGCATACGCAAAAATTCGCACGCCGGCAGTGAGCGCGAGTATGACTATGACTACTAGGCACTTAGGATTTATTGCACTTACTAGGCACTTTAAAAAAAACACCCTAATCGCTTAACGCGTAACCTAAACCCGAAACCGTAACCTTAAACCGCTTAAACCCTTAACCCTTAAAAAAAAAAAAGGTCATTGTTAAAGTAAGTGCCTGGTTAGTCATAACGCATCGAACTGCCGTTTGCAAAATTTGCGCAGCGCAACGCTGTGCGAAAAGACGACCGGTCGAAATTTAACACCGGTGCGTTTGTTCGTAGCGAGAAACGTTTTCCGGGAACGCATTTTGGGCCGGAAGCCATGTGACACGGATTTCGTGCTTTCGAGCGCGGCTTTTCGTTTCGCTCCGTGAACGCTGCTCTATATCGCAAAGGCACTTTTGAACAGCAGTTCAAATGCAGCATGCTATGACATTGCGGAGAATATTATATGTATTATTGGGTTCATTATCGTTATTCTTATTTTGTTTGTTGTGTTGCTTTTTATATTAGTTGCTCGAATGCCCACTAATAAAATAATAATAATCAAAATAAAATATTATTATTCTTATCTCAGTAATCAGCATGAGATTCATTATTTTTCTCCTTCTTCCTCTTATTATGAGTGTAGTCGTATTCTGCTCTCGCCGTCTAGGTGCTCAAGTACTGTTGGCAAACTACGGTAGTACGAAGCAAGGGCGGTGCGCTTACTCGGTCTGTCTCTGCTCCTGTCTTCTGGTCCTCCTTCGCTTCATGCTCTCTTCTGTTCTTCTTCGTCTCTGTCTTCCCTCTCTCATCTTCTTTCGTCTTCTCTTCCTCTCCCTTTTCGTTCTTTTTCTTGTTGCTTCTTCGTCTTCTCTCCATCTTCTTCGGTTGCTTCTTCTGCTTGTCTTTATAGCTTATATATAATACATATTACTTATCATATATTGTGGTTGATATTGTTGTCCTTTGATTATTATTGTTACGTAATGTATTATATTATATTTTATATATATTATAAATAAATTGCCTAATTCAGCTCTTTCTCTCGCTCTCGTCTAGGTCTTCAAGTAGTGTTGAACTCAATATTACGAGCAATGGTGCCTTTACTTCACATAGCGCTCCTCCTGCTTCGTCATCATGCATATAGCATCATTGGTGCTAGAACTCTCTCAGGGGGGTGGATGCACAAGACTTGCTGACATGACGTCAGTAAACAGAGAGAGGGGAGAGAGAGAGGGAGGTGAGAGAAGGGAGAGGGGAGTGGAGAGTGAAGCAGATAGAGAGATGGAGAGAGAGAACTCTTCTCAGGGGAGATGCACAAGACTGCTTTGACATGACGTCAGGTAAGAGAGAGAGAGAAGGGAGAGGGAGAGAGCGAGGGAGAGAGAGGGGAGGAGAGTGAGCAGAGATAGAGAGATGGAGAGAGAGAACGTCTTCTCAGGCAGCTGCACAAGACCTTGCTTTGCCAATGATCGTCAGGTAAGAGCAGAGGGAGAGGGAGAGGGGGGTGAGAGAAGGGGGAGAGCGGGGGAGAGAGAGAGAGAGGGAGAAATGAGAGAAGAGGGGAGGCTAGAACTCTCTCGGAATGCACAAGACATTGCGTTGACATGACGCAGGTCAAGAGAGAAGCGGGAGAGAGGGGGAAGGTGAGAGAAGGGGGGAGAGGGGAGGGAGAATGAGAGAGATAGAGAGATGGAGAGAGGAGAGAGGGGAGGGAGTGAGGGGGGGGGGAGAGTGCTAGAACTCTTCTCAGGGGAGATGCACAAGAGAGAGAGAGAGAGGAGAGAGGCGAGGGAGAGAGAAGCGAGGGCGGAGAGGGGACGAGAGAGACGAAGAGAGAGACGAGAAGAGCAGAGAGGAGAGAGAGAAGAGAGAGGGGGGAGAGGAGAGCGACAGGAGAGAGGAAAGCGAGAGAGAGGGCGAATATTATCGTCGTAGGGTGAGTTAACATTGAAGAGTTAACATGGGGTCAGTGCGTGACATCATGTCAAGTACATCAGCACGATTAGTTCCGCTGCTGACCACCAGGGTCGGTGCGTGACGTCACGTTAAGTACGTCAGTGCGATTAGTTTTACTGCTGGGCCACCAGGTCGGTGCGCGACCTCATGTTGACCTCTGCTGAGCGATCGGTGTGTCTATTTGCAGGAGAGAGGGCGTCGCGCACCCCGAGGCCATGCGGGGCCGCGACGCGCAGTTGATGAGCAGTTTGAACTTGAATTGCACAGGTAGGTGGCGCCACCCGTCATGCGTCAACATGTCTGACGCGTGTTAGCTTCGATGTGCTGTCACTAGATGGCACTGTAAATGGGGTGGCTAGTGAGGTTGTGTAGCTGGCTATAGCAGCCTTGTGGAATTGTTCGTGCTTATTGTATATTCAGTGAATATTGCGATAGTAGCATTGCATATTGCATTGTATAAACATTATTTGCTCGCTCTCCACATCCCCCCATCTCGCTTCTCTTCTCGCTCTTTCTCTCCTCTCATCTCTCGTCTCTCTCTCTTCTTCTCTCTTTCTTCTCTCACTCCTCTCTCTCTCCTCTCACTCTCTCCGTTCTTTCTCTCTCTCTCTGCTTTCTCTCTCTCTAATCTCTTTCTCTCTCTCCTACTGCTCCTCACCTTCCACCTCCGCACAGCACACACATGCTCTCTCTCTCTCTCCCGTCTCCCTCTCTCTCTCTCTCTCTCTCACTCTCTTTTTTCTCTATATCTATTTTATGCTATCTAATCTATCTACTATCTATCTATCTATCTATCTATACAGCCATCTCTCATATCTATCTATCTATACTCTATCTATCTATCTATCTATCTCATACTCTCTTCTCATCGCACATGCAGGTCCGTGGGACGGCCCGAACCATGGTATCACGAACTTTATAACTTTGGTCTGGCCATGCGTGCGGTCCCAGTGTGTGTACGATGGAGGGCTGGACAGAAGTGTTGGTAATAATGTAAAGCATCGTGGTATAATATTATATACTATTGCTTGTGTGTGTGTGTGGGTGGTGTGTGTGTGCAGTGTGGTGTGTGGTGTGCTGGCTGCGTGTGTGTTTGTCGGTGTGTGTGTGTGTGTGTGTGTGCAGTGTGTGTGTAGTAGGCGTGTGTGTGTGGTGAGTGTGTGTGTGTGGTGCGCGTGTGGGGGGGTGGGGTTTTTGGTGTGTGTGTGTGAGTGTGTGTGTGTGTGTGCGTGCGTGCGTGCGTGTGTGTGTGCGCGCGCGCGTGTGTGTGCGTGCGTGCGTGCGTGGTTGTACGCGTGCGTGTGTGTGTGTGCGCGTGTGTGTGTGGTTGTGCGCGTGCGTGCGTCCGTGCGTGCGCGCGCGCATGTGTGTGTGTGTGGAATTTGTAATACGTGATCAGCATAACTCCCCTTAACATCGTAAAGTTACTAGCGTGGCTGTGGCTGTGTGGCTGTGTGGCTGTGTGGCTGTGGCTGTGTGGCTGTGGTGATATGAGACACAGTACAGTGAGGGGTCCGGTGGGCTGGGCTGACACTATGTATTTATAACGTCTGTGCGCCACATCCCACTTCACTTTGCCTTTACAGATCAATGATGCAGTGGCCACAGAGTGGCCGTGGATATATTTTATAAGTTTGATCATCATTGGCTCATTTTTTGTACTCAACTTGGTTCTCGGTGTACTTAGCGGGTGAGTAAAACTCCTCATTTGCATCCGACAACGTTTTACATTTGTTCTGCGAATTTTTTTTTATCTAATTCCAAAAATGAGTGTGATCGGATAAGGTTTTATATAATATGACAACGTTTACATTTTCATTTGTATTACGAATTATGTTTATCTCGTTCCAAATGACTGGAATCGGACAATGTTTGACATCTGATAACGTTTGACATTTTTATTTGTATTACGAATTTTTATCTAATTTCTAATGACTGCCATCGGACGGCAGGGATCATGCGTCTAGGCAAATATTTAGAATTTTAGATTTTGATGACATTAGTTCGACTCTAAGCCAATAAGCCGAGTTCGCTTTTAGATTCCGCAGGGCAATCTATCCTGATTCGACGCGCGCCGCGCGCCGAGCCGATCCCGCCGGGAACGCTCGCTTGTTTTTGCGTGCTCGTTGGTTTTTCGACGCGCAATATCGACGCTTTGTTTTAACGGCCGCGTGTTTTTTTTTGGGGCAGTGAATTTTCTAAAGAGCGAGAGAAAGCCAAAGCGAGAGGGGACTTCCAGAAGCTGAGAGAGAAACAGCAGATTGAGGAGGATCTCCGCGGCTACCTCGACTGGATCACGCAAGCCGGTGAGAGCGCGCTCCGCTCCTGTATCCCAGCGCCCTCTATCCTGCCACCTTGTACTCTAGCGCCCCCTACCCCACTGCCTTCTACCCTAGCGCCCCCTACCCCACTGCCCTCTACCCCAGCGCCCCCTACCCCACTGCACTCTACCCCAGCGCCCCCACCCTAGTACCATCCACCATCACTAGCATGCTCTACCCCAGTGCACTCTACCCCAGCGCCCCCACCCTAGTACCATCCACCATCACTAGCATGCTCTACCCCAGTGCCCTCTATCACAGTGCAATCTACCCCAGTGCCAATCCTGACCTTCAGTGCAATCTTAGTCTCTACCCTAGTGCAATCTACCCCAGTGCAATCTACCCTAGTGCAATCTACCCCAACGCCCTCTACCCTAGTGCAATCTACACCAATGCCCTCTACCCCAGTGCAATCTACCCTAGTGCAATCTACCCCAGTGCAATCTACCCCAGCGCCATCTACCCCAGTGCGATCTACCCCAGCGCCATCTACCCTTTCTATCTGCGTAGTCGTAGTTTGTCTCGACACTGTCAAGTGGTGCCATCTATAAACAAGCCGACATCTTTGCAGAAGACATAGAGGAGCCGGACGCCGACAGTAATGGCGAGTCGGTGGCGAAGGCGAAGGCGGCGGCGCTAGAGGTGGAGAATCGAGCAATGCGCGAGCGAGCGCCGTCGGGGTCAGCCGAGAAAGATACATACAGATAACCGCGTGTGGCATGCACAGGAGGTGAGGAGGGCAGAAGGCGAGAAGGGAGAAGGCGGGAGGAGAGCAAGCGAGAGCAGGGGGAGAGGGAGAGAGAGGGGGCAAGGGAGAGAGAGGGGAGAAGGGGGACGGCTGGAGATCGAGAAAGGGGAGGAGGTCGGGTCAGCCGAGAACATACAGATAACGCGGTGGATGCACAGGAGCCCGTGAGGAGGGAGATGCCGCGGAGGAAGGGAGCGGCGAAGAGGGGAGAAGCCAGAGAAGACGGAGAGGGAGGAGATTGTGTGTATGTGTGTGGGCGTTAATATCTGCGTAATAATGTGTAATAATGTATAATAATGCGTGTATACGTCGTGGGGGGGGGGGTCAGTTCTTAGAACTGTGTGTAATATGTAATAATGTGTAATAATGTGTGTATACGTGTGTGGGGGGGTCAGTTCTTAGAACTGTGTAATAATGTGTAATAATGCAATATATTGTAAGAATGTGTGCTAGCATCGCGGGTGTGTGTGGGGTGTCGTGTGTGTGTGTGTGTATGTGTGTGTGCTGCGCGAGTGCGGGTACGCGTGCTAGTGTCGGCGTGTGTAGTACGTGTGTACGGGGTGTACGTGTGTAACCGTGTGGCATGCCGCGCGCGTGCATGGCTGTGCTGCTGGCTACGTGTGTACGTGTGTACCGTGTGTACGTATGTACGCGTGGGTGCTGTTGTTTACGTGTGTGTGGCTCAGTGTACTGGTGTGCATGCCGTGCGTTGGGTGTCCGTGTGTGTACGTGTGTACGTGTGTACGTGTGTGTGTGTCCGTATGTGTACGTGTGTACGTGTGTACGTGTGCATGCGCGCGTCTGCAGCAAGAGCGTGTGTGTGTGTACGTGTTGTACGCTGTGTACGTGTGACAGGCGCGCGCGCGTGTTGTGCGGCTACGTTGTGTACTGTCGCACGAACGTGTGCTACTTGCTGCATCTGCGTGCGCGTGCGTGCGTGACTGCTGTGACGTTGTGTAGTGTGTACGTGTGCCATGCCGTCGCGCGTGCGTGGTGTGCTACGTCGTGCTACGCTGTGATACGTGTGCCATGCTGCGCGCGCAGTGCGTGTGTGTCGTATCGTGCGTGTGTACGTCGCTGTACGTGGCTGTAACGTGTGTTTACGTGTGTAACGTCGTGCTACGTGTGTAGTGTGAACGTGTGTATGTGCTACGTGTACTAACGTGTGTACGTGTGTACGTGTGTACGTGTGTACGTGTGCATGCGCGCGCGTGCGTGTGTGTACGTGTGTACGTGTGCTACCGTCGTGCTACGTGTGCTACGTGTGCTTACGGATAGTGCATGCGCGCGCGTGCAGCGTTGCGTGCAGGGGTTTACGGTCGTGTACGTGTGTACCGTTGTACGCTGTAGTACGTGGTGTACGTGTGCATGCGTGCGCTGCCGTGCCGCGTGTGTGTACGTGGGTACGTTCGCTGTACGCTGGTGCATGTCCTGCGCGCGCGCGTGTGTGTACGTGGTGTTTACGTGTGTACGTGTGTACGTGTTGCATGCGTTGCGGCGTGCGTGGTGTGTCGTGTTGCTACGTGCTTGTACGTGCTAGCATCTGCGCCGCGCGTGCGTGTGTGTACGTGTTACGTCGTGGTACGTGCTGTACGTGCTTGCATGCTGCGCCGCGGGGCGGGGCCAGCCGTTGTGTGTATGTGCTGTACGTGTGTACGTGTGAGTGGGTACGTGGTACGTGTTGCAATTCGCGTGCGCGTTGCGGCTGCCTGATACGGTGTGTAACGCGTGTACGGCTGTAAGTGTGCTACGTGTGTACGCGGTGCGATGGGCTGTGCCTGTGTACGTGTGTGTGGTGTCCGTGTGTGTACGTGTGTACGTGTGCACGTGCAGTGTTACAGGTGTGCATGCGTGCGCAGTGCGTGCTGTGTACGTGATGTTACGTTGTGTACGTGTGCATAGCGCCGCCGTGGGTCCTTGCGTGTGTTGTACGTGTGTACGTGTGTTACGTGTGTACAGGCGTCGTGCATCGCCTGCGCGCGCCGTGTGTGTACGTGTGCTTTGTTTTATACGTGGTGTTACGTGTGTACGTCGTGCATGCGTGCGCTGTGCGAACTGTGTGCCCCGTACGTGTGTACGTCGTGTACGTGTGTACGCTGCTGCTACGTGTGTGTGTGTACGTCTTGTACTGTGTTGCCTACGTGGTGTACGTGTGCTACGTCGTGCATGTGCGCGCGTGCGTGTGATATACCGTGTGTACGTGTGTATGGTGTGTACGCGTTGTAGCGTGTGCATGCCTGCTCGCCGATGTGCCCTGTCTGTGTGTACGTGATGTACGTGTGCTACGCTCTGTGTACGTGTGCCATCGCGCGCGCAGGCGTGTGTGTACGTGGTGTACGTTGTTTGTACGTGTGTACGTGTGCATGCGCCGCGCGTGCGGTGTGTGCTACGTGCTGTACGTGGTTGTACGTGCTGCATCTGGCGCCGCGCCTGCGTGTGTGTGTCCGTGTGTTGGTACGTGTGTTACGTGTGTACGTGTGCATGCTGCTTGCGCGTGCGTGTGCTGTACTGCGTGTGTACGTGTGCTACGTGTGTTACGCCGTTCGCGTGTGTGTACGTGCGTGTGGCACTGCTGTCCGTATGTGTACGTGTGAGCTGTGCATTGGCTGTGCGCTGTGCGCTGTGTCTTACGCTGTGTACGTGCTGCTTACGTCGTGCATGGCGCGCGCGCTGTACGTCCAGGCGGCCGTCGTGTGTACGTCCGTGTACGGTGTACGTGTGTACGTGTGTAAACGTGTGTACGTTGTGTACGTGTAGCATGCCGTGCGGCCTGGTGCGTGTGTGTACGTGTGTAGTGTGCTACGTTTAGCATGTTGCGCGCGGTGAGGCCCGTGTCGTGCTACGTGTGTACGTGTGTTACGTGTGTACCGTGTGGCCATGCGCGAGCACGTGCTTGTGCTGTACGTGTGCCTACGTGTGCTACGTGTTGCATGTGCGCGCGTGCGTCGTGTATACGTGTGTACGGGTGGTGCTATATACGTGTGTACGTGGTGTACGTGCTGCATGCGCGCCTGCAGTGCCGTTGTGTGTACGTGTGTACCGGTGCTGTACGTGTGTACGTGCTGATGCGCTCCGGCGCGTGTGAACCGTGTGTGTACGTGTTGTACATGTGTACGTAGTGTACGTGTGTACTGTGTGCATTGCGCGCGCGTGCCGTTGTGTACGTGGTGTCATGTGTGTACGTCGTTTGGACGTGTGTACGTGTGCATCGCGCGCGCTGGCGTGTGTGTACATGTGCTACGTGCGCATGCGCTCTGCGCGTCGTCCTAGTAAAGCATGAGCGCCTTCAATTATTTCACCGTGTGTGTAACGTGGCCGCCATCTGCTGTGCGTGTTTAGGGATGCAGCCTGCGACCGGCCTCATCTTTCGTGTGAACGAAGCGCCTGCAGTACGGCTGTGCAGGCGCGGCCGTCAAATCCAGGCCTTCTACTGGACTGTGATAGTTATTGTGTTCCTTAACACACTCGTGATCACCACCGAGCACTATAATCAACCAAATGCTAGACCACTTCCAAGGTAAGCGCACGGAGAGGCGAGTGCGGGCTGGAGGCAACGATTAGGAGAGAGAGGAGAGAGGAGAGAGCGCGAGAGTAGTGTTGTGTGAGAGCAGAGATGAGAGACGGAGAGAGGGAGAGAGAGACGACGAGAGACGAAGAGATTGGAGAGAGAGAACGAAGAGAGAAGAGAGTAGAGCAAAGAGTTGAGAGAGAGGGAAGAGAGAGATGCAGCAGAAGGAGAATGGAGAGATGACTGCGATACGAGCAGCAGAGAGAGAGAGAGTAGAGGAGAGGAGAGAGACGAGAAGAGACGCAGAGATTAGTGTTTTACCCCTGCATGAAAATATAAATCGTCGCCCGTTTTCCCCCGTCGGCGTGCTTTGCACCCGCAGCATCCTCGCTTCGCCTCAGATGGTAAGACTACCTGATTTTTTCCCTGACGTTAACACCCTGGCTCTGACTTCAATAAACGCGTGTGACTGGCAATCATCCTTCTCATCACGTTATTTCTTCTCGTTTTTTTTTCTTTTTTGCCAGAGAAGTGACGAACTTGCTTTTGTTGTCATACTTTTTCTCCGGCCACTGCCGAGCATGTTTGTGAAGATATTACAGTTTATGGCTTCCAGCGTAAGCGTTGGCTGGTGGCGGGGGCCGCGGGTGGAGGGCATGGGAGGAGGAGCGGACGGGCACGAGGTGGAGGAGCGAGCCTGAGGGCAGGCAGGGAGGGGAGTAGGAGGATGCGGGAGCGCAGCGAAGGGGCAGGCGCAGGTGGAGGAGGGAAGATGGAGGAGGTTGAGGAGGAGCGGGAGGGGAGGAAGCTGGAGGTGGAGGAGGGAGGGAGGGGAGGAGGATGAGGAGGGAGGGGAGGAGGTGGAGGTAGTGAAGCGGGCAGCGCAGGAGCGGCGTTGATAGGGGAATCGAAGCTGGGCGAGCAAAGGAAGTGGATCAGGCCGCAGAAAATGAGTTCATAAAGGGGCGTGGCGTGCAGTGAAAGTAACGTTGGGCGCGTGCAAGAGGTCGAGCGACGAGAAAGAAAGCTGGAGGAGGAAGCAGCAGCAGAGGGCAAGCACAGTCGCTGCCGAGGAAGGTAAAGATAGCAGATGTGTGCATGTGCATCATTACTGATGACTCATGCGACGGTGTGGGCCATGGCTTCACACGTGACTGTACGCGTGTTTGATGATTAATTACATGACCCACCTCCTGATGCATCATGGGGAGCAGGAGGAGCGGCAGGAGGAGGCGGGGAGGAGGGGAGAGGAGGGGGAGAAGCAGAATGGACGAGGAGGAGGTGAGTGTGGTTTCACCCATATCTATGCGTCTATACGTACGCGTGTGTGATTAATAATTACACACCACCTCTTCTGATACATCGCATATCATGCATGAATTAATCATTAATGATATCAAAGTTGGGAACACTCCTAATGGAGCATTAGCCGATGGATATCATGCATGTTGCATACAGCTAGCATTCACCCACGCAATAGTGACCTTTAGCTGGACAAAGCCTCTCAATAGAAACCTGAGCAACGCAGAGGTGCGGAGACCCTAAGCTTCACTAATGGAACCAGGAAGGGAGGGGAAAAAAACGAATACACTGTAACATAATATCGGTTCTGCGAGGTTTTAATAATCAACAACAACTCGATGGATGGAAATATCACGATGTTAGTTTGTAGTTAACACGAGTATATGCTACTGTGCGTCACGTTAGACCTGTGTTATGTTTTGTTGTGTGTCATGTCGTGCCTGTTGTGTGTTACCAGCGTCTATATCATTGCGCGGGGCTACTTCGTGTTGACCTGCGTCGTGTGTGTAATATGTTGGCAGCATCTATATATACGTTATACATCACAATATACATACAATACATACATATATATATATACATGCATATTTTTACAATATACATTATCACGTAGGGCTACTTCGTGTGTATTATGTAGCTATATGTTTAGCCCACCATCTACTATATATATATATATATATATAATATACTATATATATATATATATATACTTCTATATTATTACTACGCAGGGCTACTTCTGTGATATATGTAGTATGTTGCCACCATCTATATATATATATATATTATAGATATATGTATATATATATATGATTCTTATATGATTATACCTACGCAGCGGCTACTTCGTTTGCGTTATATGTAGTATGTTGCACCATCGTATATATATATATATATATATATATATATATATATGCTCTTATATTACTTACTACCGCAGTGGCTACTTCGTGGTCGGTATAATGTAGTCATGTTAAGCCACCATTCTATATATATATATATATATATATATATATATGCTTCTATATTATTATCTTACGGCAGAGCGCTACTTTTTCGGTGTGGTTATATGTAGTATGCTGCGCACCATCTATATATATATATATATATATATATATTATATATATGCTTCTCATATTATACTACGCAGGCGCTACTTCGTCGTGCATACCGTATATGTAGGTATGTTTGCCACCATCTATATATATATATATATATATCATATATATGCCTTCTATATTATATACTACGCAGGGCATACTTCGTGCTGGATATGTAGATGTTTTGCCACCATCTATATATATATATATATATTATCTATATATATATGCTTCTATATTATTTTACTACGCCAGTGCTACTTCGTGTGTATATGTAGTATTGCACCATCTATAATATATATATATATATATATATATATACTATGCTTCTTATATTATTAACTACGCAGGGCTACTTCGTGTGGTATACTGTAGTATGTGCACGCATCTATATAATTAGTATATAATATATATATATGCTTCTTAATAAAATTTATTACTACGCAGGGCTACTTCGTGTGCATATATGTAGTATGTTGCCACCATCTATATATATATATATATATATATATATATATATATATATATATATACTTCTATGTTATTACTACGCAGGGCTACTTCGTGTGGTATATGTAGTATGTTGCCACCATCTATATATATATATATATATATATATACTTCTATGTTATTACTACGCAGGGCTACTTCGTGTGGTATATGCTAGTATGTTGCCACCATATATATATATATTATATATATATATATTATATGCCTTCTATATTATGTACTACGCAGGTATTCCGTGATATATGTTGAGTATTGTTGCACCATTTATATATATATATATATATATATATTATATATATACTTCTATATATTACTACGCGAGGCGCGATTTGCTGTGTTATGTTGTATGTTGCCACCATCTATGTATATATATATATTATATATATTTATATATTAGATTACTTCTGATATTATTACTACGCAGGGCTACTTTGTGTCGCTGTTTAACCGGTTCGACTGCTTCGTCGTCTGCGGCAGCGTCATGGAGACGGCGCTCAACAAGACGAACATCATGCCGCCTCTAGGGGTTAGCGTGCTGCGCTGCGTGCGCCTCGTGCGCGTCTTCAAGGCCACCAGGTAGCGCCAGAGTCGACAAACATGGCCGTCGTGACGTCACGCGGCGTGTCGTGAGGTCAGAGGTCGCGATGTTGTGTGGGTGTGTCGAAGGTTCGGAACCCTGTACGCAGCGGTTCAGGGAGTGCGGATTTGGGGGGTTCGTGCACGCGTGGAGGGCGTGGTTTGTGGGTCGTGCTCATGAATGTTAAATAGGAAAAAACGCACGTACGTGCAAATTAAGTAATCATATCCATATTGGCAAAACCCTAACTCTAACAATAACCTGATAACCTAACCCTAACCCTAACCCTAACTCTAACCCTAACCCTAACCCTAACCCTAACTCTAACTCTAACCCTAACCCTAACCCTAACCCTAACTCTAACCCTAACCCTAACCCTAACCCTAACCCTGATCCTAACCCTTACTCTAACAATAACCCTATAAGTATAAACTAACCCTAATTATAATGCTAAGCCTGTAATCTAACTCTTACCCTAACCTTCAGACTTACCCTGATCCTAACCATTATTCTAACTGTTACGTATTTACACGGCTTTTGGCCTATTAACCATGATGATGCACAATGAAAGCTAACTCGCAAGTAGCCATCAACGGAAACTGTTTTATTACGCATGCGCAGACGCTCGCGTCCCAGAAGTGGGTAATACTAAAATATGGATTGCCATCAAACCACGGGCTAATATAAATACACTATCCGATGTGTATATATAACACTAACCCTAAACCTAACCCTAAGCGTAACCCTAAAATAAGACAATTATTCAGTGTCTAGTGTGCTGAAGGTTATACAGAACGACGATTTTAAATTAATGTATGTAGATATGAGCTGCTCTGTCTGCTTGGATGTCTTACAAAACCTCTATTTCTCCTCTGTAGAGGTCCTCATAGTGCACTGCTCTTGTGTTTCCAGGTACTGGGCATCGTTGCGCAACCTGGTGGCGTCCTTGCTCAACTCACTACGGTCGATCGCCAGTTTGCTGCTGCTGCTCTTCCTCTTCATCCTCATCTTTGCTCTGCTGGGCATGCAGGTGAAAGCTACAGCTAGTCATGTCCCGATGATCGATTATAATCAAAAATTTAGTCGTTTGCAGCCACCGACTAATTAAGCGCTCGTTTATAAAAATAAATAATTCATTATCCAAAAAAAAAAAAATTTTTTTATTTAAAATATGTTTTCCAATAAAATGTCCAAACATTGATGAAATGACTCTTTATTTCATTTGAGTGTTTTTTGGTTACTTTACAGCTTAAATCTAACCAAACTAAACATAAGCAAGTGTAATACTGTTACGTAGCTTTTAGACTATTGTATTATAAAAAAACTGTATTATACGAGACACGATATATTTTAATATCTGGTAGGCGCGATCAATAACATTCAACCGATTATCTTCGATCATCGATCGGTTGGGTGCAACCGATGATCGATGATGAAATTCCAATCGATTCCCATCACTAGCTACAGCTTCTGGTCACAGTCTTCCTGTTTACTGTAACTCTACTGCCTGTCAAGGTTACATGCGATTGCGAGTAACTGTAAATTTCCTCTCTTCTTGGAATTTGTATTTTTTGCGGTTGCGGTTTTTATAATTTGTATTAATTGCGCGTGTTTTGTTGCTGCGCGCGCAGGAAACGGCAAAGAGTTAAATTTGAGAATAATTGCGATTTTGAGTAATTGCGTTAGCAAATAGCATTTAGTGAATCACGTGGGGGGACATTGTGAATCTATGAACCCTCTAGTCTTGAAAGGAATCTTGATAGGAATTTATGTAAAGTGTAATCGAAAAAGAATCATACAAAATCATGTCCGTGTGATATCCGTAAGATATATAAGATATCCATAAGATATATAAGATATATAAGGTATCCATAAGATATATAAGATATTCATAAGATATATAAAATATCTGTAAAATATTCAGAAGCTATCCAAAACAAAATTCGTGAGAAATCCACAGGGAACTTTAACTCTCAAATGTCTTCTCTGGTTTTCCCCCTGAGTATTTCCCGAAGTTCACACCCTGACCGTTCACATTTCTGACTCTCCATCTTTGCAGGTGTTTGGAGGCAAGTTCAACTTCCCGCAGGGCAAGCCGCGCAGTAACTTCGACACGTTCTGGCAGTCTCTGCTAACAGTCTTTCAGGTTCGTAACACAGTCGCCGATGCTATAGTTGTCTCCAACTTTATCACGACAAAAACGAAAAGATTCACACAAAGTAACTTTATCTATAGTGAGATAATAAATAAAATAATTGAAATACGAATTAGGAAATTATTCTATTCACACGTGAGTATGGCACCTGATCACGTGTGTCACGGTAACGTGTGACCTGATCACGTGTGTCACGGTAACGTGTGACCTGATCACGTGTGTCAATGTAACACATCGTGTGTCGTTGCAGATATTAATGGGTGAGGGTGGTGTCGTTGCAGTATTAACGGGTAGGCGATTGGTGGTCGTTGCAGATATTAACGGGTGAGGATTGGTGGTCGTTGCAGATATTAACGGGTGAGGGTTGGTGGTCGTTGCAGATATTAACGGGTGAGGGTTGGTGGTCGTTGCAGATTATTTAATGGGTGAGGTGTTGGTGGTCGTTGCAGATATTAATGCGGAGTGAGGTTGGTGGTCGTTGCAGATATTAACGGGTAGGGTTGGTGTCGTTGCAGATATTAATGGGTTGAGGCGTTGGTGCGTTCGTTGCAGATATTAATTGGCGTGAGGGTGGTGGTCCGTTGCAGATATTAATGGGTGAGGGTTGGTGGTCGTTGCAGATATTAACGGGTGAGGGTTGGTGGTCGTTGCAGATATTAACGGGTGAGGGTTGGTGGTCGTTGCAGATATTAATGCGGTGAGGGTTGGTGGTCGTTGCAGATATTAACGGGTGAGGGTTGGTGGTCGTTGCAGATATTAACGGGTGAGGATTGGAACTCGGTGATGTATGATGGCATCCAGGCGTTCGGCGGTGTTGGCTCTAAGGGCGTACTCACCTGTTTCTACTTCATCATCCTCTTCATCTGTGGTAACTGTATCCTTAACACTGCAGTCATGTTGAAATTACTTTAACTTGTTTAAACTTACTTTAACTTTTGCTTTTTAACTTGCGTTCTTAAATTTACTTCAAAGTTTAATGTTACTTCTGTTTTCCACTGTCTTGTTCAATTTCTAAAGGAATAAGCTCCCAAAGGATAAAATAGTTCTTTAGTTAAGTAAAAGAGCAGGCAATTTTCCACTAATATTCAGAAGATATTTTGGCAAAATGTACGCTATACCCCCGCACACCTAGAAAGCTTTGTACACATCTACACGTAAGAGAAACTACGCGTAACTACGCGTAACTACGCGCGCCTTACGCGTCATCGCGACGTCACGCGTTTGACCTTTGACCCCGACCTTGCGGCGAGCAGACATCTTGCTGAACGTGTTTCTCGCCATCGCCGTCGACAACCTCGCGGACGCCGAGAGTCTGACGGCGATAGAGAAGCAGGAGGAGCAGGAGAAGGAGAAGAAGAAGGTGACGAGCAGGGAGGCGTCGCCGCTGCCCCTGCCAGGTGAGCCACCTACCGAGGAGCAGGCGGACGGCGGCAGCAGCGGCGGCGGCGGCGCAGAGGCTGAGATGCCGATGTCGAATCACAAGAACTACACGGGGTCAGTCTATATACGGTGTGACGTGATCCCTCAGTCATGTCACACGATATATTAGTCTTATAATATATCTATATATATATATATATATATATATATATATATATTATATATTATAATATTACTTTATTATAATCCCTATGATATGCTTTCTCTATGATATCCTGTTTCCTTTCTGATATCCTATCATTCCTCTATGATATCCTGTTTCCTCCAGGATATCCTATGATACCTCCATAATATCCTGATTCCTCTATGATATGTTATGATTCCTCCGCAACATCTTAAGATTCCTCTACAATGTCCTATGATTCCTTTACAATATCTTATGAGTCACCTACGATATCCTATCATTCCTCTATGATAACCTATAATTTCTTTATAATAGCCCTCATGATAATATATTATTATTCCTCTACGCTATTCTATTATTCCGCTAGAATATCCTATGATGCCTCTACGATATATTATCATTCCTTTACGCTATGATTGTAATACTCTACGATAGTGACATTGCTGACCGGTAGATGGCGTTGGTTGTTGCAGGTCGGCTGCTACGTTCGAGGCTCACCGGCCGGAGTCACCCGATGACAGCCTGAGCAGCAACACGAAGGTCCACATCCACGACAGCGAGGATGACGACATCGACGACGCAGACGACATGCACGCGAGAGAGACGAGTAAGGCTTCCTTCTACGGCACGCTGGCTTCCTTCTCCCGCACATTGGCTTCCTTCTACGGCACGCTGGCTTCCTTCTCCCGCACATTGGCTTCCTTCTACGGCACGCTGGCTTCCCTCTCCGCACATTGGGTTCTCCCTTCATGCGCTGAGTTCTCCCTCCGTACACTAGCTTCCCCTACTACAGCCTCTCTTCCCAGTTACATTGTGTCACCACTGGCGCGACAGTTTAAACCAATCGATAGCTAGATGTGATAATATCCGTATTTTGTATATAAACATGTACTATAACAACTATGCAAAACAACTAACATGATAACATTGGGGCAACATAAAATTAAGTTCAAGATTTTCTACGTTAAGTTGATGATTATATTTATGCTCGCAGTCTACTAGTATAATAAGTGAACGCCGCTGCATATCCGTACGTGTAAAACGACCCCCGACGTAACAACAGACGACATATGCGAGCGTCTGCGGCATCACGTGACCCTCGCGCACATCTCCCCCTTCACACATCTCGTCTGTTCTCGCTCTCCCTCCCCCCGCCGCGCCCCCTGGCGGCGAGCAGACGTGAAGACGAGCGTGGCGGAGGACACGACGACGTCGGCGTCGACGGCGCGGCCGCGGCGCATGTCAGAGCTACACATCGCTGACAAAGTGAAACCCATCCCGCAACCCAGCTCACTTTTTGTATTTTCCCCTACTAACAAGTAAGTGGAGAGAGGGTGTGTGTGCGAG